GCCGGCGGACGGGACCCGGGCCGGATCCGGCCCTGACTGAATCCATTCGCCGCCGGGTACCCCTCCCCACCGACAGATGGCTGGACAACGAGCACAATCTTATCCGCTGGCAATATTGCCACACGGCAGCTGGACCACTACATCGGTCCGTGCTATATCGAGTGACCACCAGCAGCCGGCTCACGCGCCATTTCCATTGGCGGCAGAAGACAAAGGCCAAGGATGCAAATTGTTAAAAAGTTGCGATAATGCTCTATGTGCAAATAGCTAAAACTGGGGTTGTTTGTCACGTGAATCAGATTTGCAAACGATTAGCATAAAGCTGTCAAAGTGATAAAAGGCAGGATAAGCTTTCCAGAAAAAGAGAGCTTTCGTGATATCTGCTGCTGAACCTGCTGTTCAGCAGCAGGTACGGCAGTTGACAGCTGGGAACTGCTATTTCCTGCAGTCAGCAGGAAACAGCAGGTCCCAACAGTCAACTGTATAAGCTAGTATCAGTACCAGGGCGACAAAATCAACACCCCTATGCCTGTAAAAAGCAAATACAAATACTGCTACATACGCACAAGCTATTGACGTTGTGGTCGACACAGGATAAAATCCCCTCCTGTCCCCTTCATAAGCAAATCCTGGGGGGGGGGGGGGGAGGGCCACGAGGCCATGCCCACCCAAAACATTCCCAGAGCTTCATAAAAGTTTCGTCTACTTACCGTCTGTTTTAATTTTGATGGTGCGGTATCAAACATTTCTTTCCGTTTCGGAAAAACTTCATGAAGAAATGTTGGCAGCGATTTGAATATGAAAACAGAACGCATGTTGACGCATCTTAGTCATACTCGGCGCAAACATCGTGTTGGATAAGCATGATAAGCATTTGAGATAGTAAATGACGAACGGTTGCCCCCCCCCCCCCACCCCCACCCTCAAAACTCCAGGCTAGATCCGTCCCGGACCCTTTTGCACTCCAACCAAAATTATCCCACGTCGCTCACGAGAGGCCAGGAGCTCACCAGCATGTTCATTGGAGGTTGTACTCTATTTGCATTTTACAAACGTCAGTCCTCTCCCCTGTGGCATTGATTTGGCATAAGACATTGGCGATCTGTGAAGCTCGGTTTGAACACCACTGTTTAACTCTGACAGAAACGTCAAAACGCAATTTGACCGCGTGCTTGCCCAGCGGCATGAGCAGTCGGCGCGTGCGCATGCGCATGCGCACGCAAGGCATCTCCGAGATGTCCATTGATAGCGACAGGTCGGGCCGGATGCCCGCTCTCGCCCGCGCTTGGTCGATGCCCGCCTCTCGCCACCCCCGCTGCTTCACACAGGTTGCGAAGTGATTCTGAAGGCGGCGTCTTTGATCTGCACCTGTCACAAAGGTGGCGTCTTGATCCTGTACCTGGCAGAAGGCGGGTGTTTGATTCTGCACATATCAGAAGGCGGCGTCTTGACCACACCCATGTTACAGAAGACCGCGGTTTTTAATCCCGCATCCGTCAACGAAGCGCTTGATTTTGGCGCCTTCGAAAGCGCCACGAAGGGGCCTGAAGATCTTTGATTCTGCACCTGTCACGAAGGTGAACGCTTTTGATCCTACAGCTGTTACGAAGGTGGCGTCTTTGATCCTGCACCCTTCACGAAGACGGCGTCGTTTGATCCTGCACTTGTCACGAAGGCCGCAGTAGCAACCGCGCACCACTTCCGGCTCTCAGGTGGCCTTGGCTTGGGATTGTCTCACCAGTCGGATGTGGAATGTGGCCCACGGACCCACACCCCGGCGAATCGTCGCCTTTGAACTTGAGACCATTACAACAACCTGTATTACTACTGCTTTTGCAATGTGCGGCAGGACCATTGAAATCGGGCTTGAGTGGGTTCCTTTACGGCGGCCCGAATCTTTTAAGTCAAGCTTGTGGTCGGTTAGCACCCGTGTGGTTGTGGACGTGAGTCACAGCAGGGACAATGGACGCCCCCTCTTTCTGGGGTATGCGCGTTTCCTGTTTCTCAGTTCTCTTGGGGCTTGAGTCGAACAGCGGTACGGTGTTTTCACCTGCCAGACATCAAAACGCGTGGTGTGCACCAACAGACACGGCCAATTGCACAGATTGGCTGACCGTGGCGCAGTCCGCGTGCTACTTCCTTTGCGTAATACGAAAACATTCAGCCTAACATCCAGCCAGATCCCGACAACCGCCTAAACACTCAGCCAGATCCCCGGCACTTCCTCAAAAACACAAGCACAGAACCAACCTAAGGAACTCCTCATTTCGCGAGCTCCATACCAATCACGACATCTCGCTGCGCGGGGTGCCGAAGTCACGGGCGTAAGTAGAGCCGGAGAGCTCCAGGTCCGGCCTGCCGCCACTCAGGCCGCTGCCGACCGCTGGGCAGTGTCACATGCGCTGACGGCCGTGCGTTCAGGGGAGGGAGGGGGCGGGGCGACAAAGATTGGCAGTCTAGGGCATGGCTCACACCCTTCGTCACCTCTGAATCTCCGGTGGTCGCCGCGCCCCCCGCCCCCTTCCCCCCCCCCGGTCGTTGACCCGCGGCAGGGCCTGCCCACGCCCCGGGGCAGTGTGGCTCTGTCTTCCAACAGTTGTCGCTGGAGCGGAGCTGGAGAAGAGCATGGTGGAGGGAGAGATCCCGCGTCATTCGTGTGTTCAGCGCTCTGGCCGGAGGTGTAGTGTCCTATCAATTTGGGGAGAGAGGGGGACGCTTCTCCTAACTTAAGCTTCAGAACTCCGAACTCTGACGATAAAGGGGCCAAATATGTGGAGAAACTCTTTGTTGTCGTCTTTTGGGGTGGATTTCGTCACTTTTCCACTGCATTTTCCCCCCCAAACACACACTCATTTTGGCGACCGGGGCTGTTTTGTCTGACACCACATTGTTTGTGTGTTTCTTTTCTCGTCACTCATGGGATGTGAGCCCACCATTCATCCGTTCGCCTGTTGGACCTCCCATATATTGTTTGCGTGTATGTCCGTCCGTCATCCGTCTGTCATCCGTCTGTCATCCGTCTGTCCACACGTCTGTCGTCATGGCGTCTGCGCGTCAGCCGGCCGACCGCCCTCCACATTCGTCACTCGCACACTGGAGTACGCGAATGACGTCATTCACGCCTCGGCATCTTTCCTCGCATCTCTCTCGTTCGCCACCCGCTCACCCGTCTGAAGCGTTTCACGCACGCTTGCCGTCCGCACTGGCCCCCCCCCCCCCCCCCGTCATCGCTGTCGACTCTTCGTCTTCACGCCCGCCCAAGCCGCGGTCTGATGCAGCGGCGCCCGTGGCCTCCGGCCCGACACCGGCCCCGCCCCGCAGCACAATTGGCCTCCATTGTGAGCCTCGCTCCTCGGCGGAGCTCTGCAAGAGGCCGCGCTCGGCTATTTGGTGGCCTCGTTTCGTCATCGACACCCGGCGTAGCGTGCCGAGACCGAGGCCGAGCCGGGTCCCATCAGTCCCGCCTCAGCCGGCACTTCAGCGGCCGGCTGCATTGACACAGCGTCCCCGATGCATCTCCTCACCGCTGGCCACAGCCGGCTGCATCCGCCGGTCCAAGCCTGAGCTACTAGCGGCGCTGGCGATGAGGCCATAGGCCTGTCATTCAACGCGGGCAGTTACGGCGCCTGTTTGCCTGTAATTAGGACATCCCACAGTCGATTTACTTCTTTGCGAACGCAACTACGAAAACGACGCCGGAAAAGTGATGCATCTTTGCAAACATCTGCTTTGCATTTTGCTCTCCTGTTCTCCCCATCTCACACCGCTCGCCATCTCCTTCACTCCTTCTTCCCTCTCTCTCTCTCTCTCTCTCTCTCTCTCTCTCTCTCTCTCTCTCTCTCTCTCTCTCTCTCTCTCTCTCTCTCTCCTCTCTCTCTCTCTCTCTCTCTCTCTCTCTCTCTCTCCTCTCTCTCTCTCTCTCTCTCTCTCTCTCTCTCTCTCTCACTCTCACTCTCTCCCTTTCCATACATTTCTCTGTGTGTCTCTATCTCTCTTTCTTTCCTCTCTCTAACTACCTGTCTTTCGACCCTACACCCTTCCACCTCGCTAACTCTACATCTCTCCGTCTGTCAGTCTCTCCATCTTTCCCGCCCCTTCTCCTTCCTTCCTTCCAGTTCCCTAGCTCTCCGCCTACCCTGGGCCTCGCAGCAGCCTCCAGACGGCAGCAATCTCCGCCAGCTGTTCGGTGACCTCCCCTGCTCCCCCGCCAGAGGTGTTGACGCACAACACCGCCAGCTCGTTTATTCGTCAATCGTGTCAATCGCCAGCACCAGTACCTCTCCAAACGCCGGAGGGTGGCGCCAGGGGAGGCTGATGAAGCGCCAGTGACTGCTCAGCGGCTCCAGGGTAAACACTACTCGACGGTGGGCAGGAGTGCCCCCTCCACACCCCCCCCCCCCCTTACCTCGCCCACTAGCGACCCTGACCTTGGGGCGACTGTTGCCTTTGGCCGACGGCTGGCCCGGGACGAGGGCTCGGGTTCAGGGCGTCCGACGCCGGCAGGTGGATGTCTCGTGCCCCTCCCCTCCCCCTCCCTCTCCTGGCGGCTGTGACCAGGACGCAGCCGGTGACTCGAGGCGGGAAGGGGGGGTGGGGCTGCACGTCTCGCGGCCCACCGAAGCGGTGGTGCCGGTGATATGTTTGAGGCTGTGACAAACACCAAGCCCTCTGGTTAATGACGGGGTTTATGACAGTGACAGTGACAGGTGACAGTGACAGGGCCTAGTGGCAGTGCTTCAGTGCCGCCATCTCACGGTGGTAGGCTGTGGATTCAAGTCAAACTGCTGCGGCCCTGTCGATTCCAGCGCACCACTCAGATGCTGCCACCTAACGGTGACCTTAAATGTCGCAGGCGAAACGGTGGCAGTCCTGCCGAGCGGGTCGGTTCGACGGTGCCGCCACCTAACGAAGCTTTGTGACACGTCATGTAACAGCGGCAGTCCTGCCGAGCAAGCAGGCTTGACAGTGAGAGCCATCTACGGTTGAACTCCTGCACTGCAGGTGAACGGCGGCAGTCCTGCTGAGCGGGCCGGTCTGAGGGCCGGCGACGCCGTCATCAGCATCGGCGGGCAGAACGCCATCGAGATGCGCCACAAGGAGGCGCAGGACTCCATAGTCCGCTCCGGCAACAACATCAGCATGGTCGTCCAAAGGTGGGGCACTGCGGGGATCAGCAGCCGACGTGCCGCGTCGAGCGCTGCCGCTCGGAAGCAGAGTGGAGCGCCCTGGCTCCCGCGGCAGGGGGTACCCGCAGCGTGGCTGCCAGGCACGCACTGCTGACCGCTGACCCGACGGACGCTTGGCCGTCTGTCGTCAAGGTCTACTGGCTGGAGTCATCCGGGAGACGGAGACCACTACAGCGGCGCGTGCGCAGACGACGGCAACGTCCCGTGTACAGATGGCGACGACGTCCGGTGTGCAGATGACGACGTCCCGTGTGTAGACGGCGACGATGTCCCCGTGCGTAGATGACGACGACGTCCCGTGTGCAGATGGCGACGTCCCGTGCGTAGACGACGACGTCCCGTGTGCAGATGGCGACGATGTCCCGTGCGTAGATGACGACGACGTCCCGTGTGCAGATGGCGACGTCCCGTGCGTAGACGACGACGTCCCGTGTGTAGACGACAACGACGTCCCGTGCGTAGACGACAGCGTCCTGTGCATAGATTACGACGACGACGTCCCGTTGGCAGAGCGCAGCAGCGCAGGCGCTCCATTCCTGGCTTGCGGTCCATTTCGACCTCTCATCACCTGACACAAGGCTGGATGGGGGCCAGTCGGCTCAAGCCGCTACCCGCCCTCACCATCAACCGACGTAGGCGGCTGTGCAGACAGCCGGTGTGTTCCTCTCAGTACAACCCTGGGAAAGTGACCTGCTGTCCAGTTCGCCCTCACCTTGAGCCGACCTGTCAGGCATGGTCGTCAACCAATTATCTGACCGGTCCCACCCGCCACCTGCCACGACCCCAGCAGGCACCAGGGTGTACTTGCGGCGTCCCGTGACGATACATGCCTCCTGCCGTGTCCATCCTCGTGACTTAACGATTCCCCATTGTGTCTATCCCCACGAAGCTACGAGCCCCGCTGTGTCCATTTTCCTGTGACGTCACGAATCCCTGCTGTATCCTTCCCCGTGAGGTCACGAGCCCCCTCCTTGTCATTTCCCGTGACGTCACAAATCCCCGCTGTGTCCTTCTGCGTGACGTCACGAGTGCCCGCCGTGCCATTCTACGTGACGTCACGAGTCCCCGTAGTCCTTCCCCATGACGTCACGAGTCCCCGCTGTGTCCTTCTGCGTGACGTCACGAGCCCCGCTGTGTCCCTCCCCGCGTCCCCACCTAGGTGGGACCTCTCGGCGGAACCCCGCCCGGTGCCGTACGCTAGCCGGGCGCCAAGTTTGCGCCGCGTATTAATAGCGCTTGGCCCGCTGTGCGCTATTTCCACCGCCGGGGTGGGCAGAGGCGCGCCCAGGCCGTCGGGCATGGGGAGGTAATGTGATGGCCTCGTGAGCAGGCGCATCGAAACGTGCCAGGTTGCAAGGCCCTCTGAATCGACTCAATGGTGAACCTGTGCACCAGGCGCCGGCGCTTTGCACTGAGGCGTTTGCCTGAAGGCTAGACGAATTCGGCGGTAGTCGGTGTTTAAGGCTTGGAGAGGGAGACAGGCGAAAGGAAAAAAAGTGGAAAGCGGAGACGCGCTTTCCATGCAATTTTATCAGCGCTTCTTGGAAATATATCTCCCGGCCCCCACTAAACCATTCTACACCCCAGCCAGCTGATTGGCGCAAATGGCTGTTACGTCATCGGCGCGTCTCGGTGGTGATTGGTGGCCGGGCGATCTGAGCTGATCTGGGTAAACACGCACACCGCCAGCAGACGGACAGCGCAGGGAATTAGCTAATACCATTTGGCAGCGCCATTTGGAAGCTGGATGATGATGTCTGCACTTCGGGAATACTTCGGGCAAGGGAGACTCTCCGACACGAGTTCTGAAAGCTTCTGAATAGGATCGAACTCCTGCTTGCAAATGAAAATTAGCCTGCCCTCATCCATCCATGTTGTTATAGCATGCATTATACTTTCTTGTTGACCTCGTATTGCTGTTATATTACCAGCTGTTATGCCTAATTCTCTTTTCTCTTGCACACTTCATTACCATCGATAACCTGCCGTTAATTGCGTCAATCACCTACTTCTTGACGTTCACGTTAAGATAATAATCTACCGCTTCCCCACTCTCACCTCAACTTATACCTGCCTCGCCTAATGCAAAGGCCCTAAACCCAGCATTTAAGAGTCACGACCTGTTGATAATTCAATTCGAATTTTCAAGTTGAGAATTGGTGTGGATTTAGATGCAGACATTGACCGCGGATGTTGGTTACTCAGCATACCCACCAACACCTGAAAGGCTGTACGCCACGTGTAAAAATCACAAATTTCTGTCATTGCTAAGAGCAATGCTCACACGTGTCGACCCGTGGCAGCCGTCCTCATCGACCACCTATCGACAACAGCGCCATCAGGGGGCAACACTGCCAACCTGAAGTGTGTTAGACCACCGCCGCCCATCGGCGGCACGTTTGGCCCCGGGCCAGCGTTCTGTCTCCGGATGGCGTTAACTAGGCCTCCGTAATCAACGCCTCCCTCTTGTTCCTCAGCGGCTGTGTTGGAACTGCACCCAAGTCAACATTGTGCGTTCAAAGCCAATTAGCATGCGGGAACCTGTCTGCGTTTGGATTGAGCTGTGCACGTGCTCGCCACTGTGTACGACATGAGCGTACAAAGACTCGCGAGTGGGATGTCATGGAGCTGAAGGAAGACCACCGCCACACCGCTAACAAAAACAGTTCCGGCCATCTTATGGGGTGCAAATAAGATTTAGGTTAAAGCGGCCTTGTTAGTCGCTTTTTGGAGCTCTTCTCATGACTCTGAATGCTATATTTTGCCTCCCGAAACTCAGCGGTGACGGCCGGTTTTGCGGTGGAACTGCATGGGCGTATTTACCGCCCAAGGCCGGTAGGATGCGGACCCCAGTTATCTGCCCGTATTTCCTTATGCCGCATCCTTACCCTCGTCGACGTACGCCCATCCTTATTTTTGTCCTCATTCCGGCGTCATCCTGCATCCTCGCAGGACCCCGTTGTGTCAGGGGCGGCTGCGTGCGCCAGCCGTCAGTGGACGAGTGCCCTCTGGTGGGCCCCGTCCGAGCACGAGTGTCCTCTGGGTGACCCCCGTCCGAGCAGGAGTGCCTCTGTCGGGACCCCCATCCCAGCACGAGTTGCCCTCTGGGTGGCCCCGTCCGAGCACGAGTGCCCTCTGGTGGGCCCCGTCCAAGCACGAGTGCCCTCTGGTGGGCCCCCATCCAGCACGAGTGCCCTCTGTCGGGACCCCATCCCAGCACGAGTGCCCTCTGTCGGGACACCCTTCCCAGCACGAGTGCCCTCTGTACGGGACCCCCTTCCGAGCATAGGACACGTCTGGAGAGGAGTCCCTATGCGGGCCTGGTCTCGGCGGTGGGCCTTCACGGGTGGGTGTAGTCCTGCCCACCGCTATCCACTCTTCTCCATTCCACAGCCCTGGAATGGTAGCTGCGGACCGAAGGCACTCATGTCCAAGCCAGACCTAGACCCAAGTTACTCTGACGCATAGGTAGCCATTTCTACCGTTGCGAAATAAATAGCACAATGGAAGATCGAACTGCTGTAAATATTCGATAAGGGACATCACTAGCATTGGAGTAGGAATGGTAGTATTTGGGGTTTAAGGGGCGCGTCGACTGCATCTGTCATTTAACGCCCCGAATGCGTAGTTATGCAACTGGGTGGAAGGGGACGAGGCATGATCTTATTTCTAAGGAATGTTATCAGCATGTAGGATACCGCGTTATAAGTAGGCGAGTGTTCGTGGTTATCGCTGTTACACCATCACTCTTGCGTATTTACTTTTGGGCCAAACCAATTTGGTGGCGAACATGGCATGTAACGCCACATCTAGTGCTTAGTATCGGAACTACTCCCCACCCCCAATCCCCCACCACCCCCACCCCCACCCCATCCCACCTCCTCCTCTGGACTACTCTGGAGTCGTTGCATGCGACTAGTCTCTCCCTGCCCACTATCCAAAGCACCCTGGCAAAACCCAGAGCAAAGGACCGATCCAGTGTCCGGCCAACCCCCCCCCCCCCCGCCCCCTCCCCCTGCTCATGATGTCCTGGACTTCTAAATGCTGCGCCCATTGCCAGCTGGACGACGGTTTTCCCCGCTTTCCGACGTTAAAACGGTCCTGCCGTCTTGGCACGGGCCGGCGGCCGGCCGGACGCGTCGCCTCGGGCGTCGCCGGCGGCGATGTCGCGCAGTCCGGCGGCGACGGTCGGCGGCGAGTGACCCCGCGCCCCGCCGCGCACGCGCAGAGGTCAGGGGGTCACGGCTCGACGGCGTCGCGGGCGGTGTGATCAAAGCGCCGGCGGCGTTGCGGCGCCGAGACGATGAAGTTTCCGTGTCACGTGAGCACGACCCCGGGACCGGGGGTCACTCTCACACGGATCATGGAAGAGCTGCACAGCCTGGGTAAGCGAGGGCCGATTGGCAATGTCCACTTAGCGGCGCACGCGGCACACGCTACTGGTGCTGTTAACTTTAAGTTAACGTTAACGATAATGTCGAGCGCGCACGTTAACTGTTCACGCCAACGTGTGGGGTCTGCTGGCGAAGCATCGCCAGCGCCTGCAGGCCGTCAGGAAAACGACAACGTGCACCACCACGGGCGCAGCCGGGATTTTCTGAAGGGAGGAACCCGGAGCTTGGTGAGCACGCTTTACGCTGATGTTGAACTATTTCCTGGGAACCATCCAGAGTGAAAAAACGATAACTCCAGGACTCAGGAAGGGTCCGCCCCGCCGCCGGGTCCCTCCCTTGGCTGCGCCCCTGTTGCGTCGCTCTGAATGGCGGCTATTGAATGCCGGTTTACATCACAGCGTGGAAATGGGGGGGGGGGGGGGGGACGGAGCAGAATACCGCTGGTGCCAGGCACAGACAGGGTGAGGAACTGGACAGCGGCATTGTGGTAATTCTCACCGCGTATCAATTACTCATCTTTCTGGTCAGGCAGGGTCGGATTCTTTGCGCGTCTTGGAGATCATCAGGATGGCTGTATGGCAACCGCTAGCATTTGTGAGATAAATGGTGAAGGTGATGTCCTTTTCCAACGTGAGACGTGTGGGGGGGGGGGGGTTCGACGTGGGACAATTTTGGTACACAAGTGTGGTGGAACACACGGTGGCTCAACAGTGTGCTGGTAGGGCTTGCACTACAAAAGCATAAGAGGGTTTCGGAAATAATACTCGTCTCTTTCCAAACTAAATGTCATTCTCGGTATCACGTTCTATAGTGCATGGCAGTGTGTCGTTCGGGGTAATTCCTATCCTCAGGCAGATATGAGATATGACGTACGACCCCAACGACTCCAGTCTCACCGTACGTTCTCGCCCCATGACATTTGTTGACACCGATCTCAGCGTCGGCTCTCACGGGCCTCATCTGTGTGAATGAGAACGTAAGAGCGATAGCTGTTGCCGCAAGGAGTGTGCACAAGATAATTTATGTAATGATAATTTAGATAAGTTATTATATACAGATAATTTATGATAATTAATGATAAGGATCGGAATGAAAGCAGCGGGATTTTGTGCCGTAGTTGTTTTGCTGGCCACAGACCAGATCATACCTTCCTGCGATCATTGAACACAGTGCAGTTTAGTTGGAGCACCCTCAGTAACACACTTTGGTTGCATTCGATGCACTGCTTTTGTAGTTTCTCGGTTTTGCAAAAATGGTGGCGATGTCATACAGCGGAACAGTTACATCAACCATATTTACCAAAATAAGCACACATTCCAACTCTCAAAAAGCGCGTTTCAATAGAATATGGCTGCTAATCATGCTGTACGAAGGGTCTACTTGTTAATTTTTGGCTGTAGCACCATCTAATGCATTTTGCGTTATTGTGTATATTGTTTGTGTTATATAAATTGTGTTGGCTAAGGTGGATCCGCAGCTAACGACGCTAGGGATATAGCAGCTTCCTATCTCGGAATTTTTCGCCTTTTTCGACTTTCGACCCTGAGACAGTGCCACTAAGGTCAGAGCTTATTTCTTGGTGTCAGGAAAAAACCGTACAAGGTAAGGATGTATGAGGTGATGCGGACGTGGACCTAAGGATTTACGCTAGCCTGCATTGCCAGTTTTCGCCGTCAAAAATCACGCACATTACCAGCTGAAGAAATTATTCTCGTGACCTACGATTTGGGGACCGTTTTTTCCATCATTTTCATGTGGTTAACACAGGCTTAAGGTTAGAGTGGGTAGAAGATTGAGTGTCCTAAGCGTAGCTGGAGGCTTCGGGGTGCCATCTTGGGCTCGACTCCGTATTAACCACCTCACCTCATCCACCTTGCGTGTATTTGTATCACGTGTATTCGCACGTGGTCTTACCATCTCACCTCACTTTGGCAACAAATTAAAGTCGCCCCCCGCTCCGTACTCTGAAGATCGAAAGATGTTCGATAACCCGTCGCCAGCTCCGCCCATTCCATTAATGACCTCATCGGCACCAGATGGGCTGCGATGACACGCGCTGACGGCGGAATGAAGCGCAACCTGGATGTCGCAGTCGGCTGTGATTGGTTCGCATCAGCTGATACTAGTCATGCAAGCTGGAGCTGGGTACGCCCTACCCAGGGCTGAACCATACAGAGCGAGTGAAGCTGGCATATTGAATAAGAGGAATGTAATGGCTTGTCAACATGCCATTCGCGCCTTTAGCGTTCAGAAAAAACTGCCTGGGTGCAGGCATATAGCTCCTATTTTCCAGTTCGCTTTCTGTAATACTTGCCACGCGGTAGGACACCAAATCTCGGGAAATCGCTTCCATCATTCCGTGCACGCTGTAATATTGCCAGACGTGGTTGATGACGAAGGTTATATGATACCAAATTTCCGTTGAGTGCATGTGCACTCTAGGACACGACTGTTTTTGCTCGCTCACCTAGGAACCCTCAGCGATTTGAGATCTCTGAAGCTCCGTCCCCGCCCCGTTGTTGTCAGGTACCGCGCTGCGACATCGATGACCTTGCCGTGACCTCTGGGCCCGTGCCACCGCCTGCGGCCACCTGCGTCTGGGCGCATTGGTGACGTGTGTGTGGGTGTGTGATGCAGTTGGAAACAAAAAGAACAAACATTTTGTGGTTATAGTTGGAGCTGGTCAGATTCAGGTGGGGCGTCAAAGAAATCAAATTGCAATGCTCCGCTTAAAAAAACGAACTATCTCGAATGTGTCGATTATCGAGCAATTGTGTTAAGCATGGCACAGTGCCTCGCACGTAACTGTTCAGCACGCGCGGTAATCATGATCTGTACGGGCAATCAACGAAGGCATTTTTCAGAAACGACGGAAATGCCAGCTCCCGTATGGAATGTCAGCGTCCGTGTGGAATGTCAGCGCCCGTGTGGAATGTCAGTGCCCGTGTGGAATGCATGACGTCACGAAATGAGAGTTGGCGTTCTGACCATCTGACTATGGTGTCGGTATTGGCGATGGCGTTCTGGCAATGACCGGTGTCGGTAGTGGTGATGGCGTTCTGGGCATCACATTGTCGGTAGTGGTAATGGCGTTCTGGGCATCACAGTACCGGTAGTGGTGATGGCGCTCTGGCCATCACAGTGTCGGTAACGGTGATGGCGTTCTGGCCATCACGGTATCGGCTTCCGGGCGGAATGACAGTATCAGTGGTGCACAACTTAACAGGTGAAACTGGTACGGAAGAAACTTCACGCTTGGGGAAACTGGTACAGCCCGGAACATGAACACGTAGCTTTGTTTGAGCCTCAATGCTTGAAATCGGTTGCCAGCTGGACCACAAGGCGGTGGAGAAGGGGCAGAGTCAAAACAGGGTGTGGGGAAGAGGCAATGTCAATACGTCTACCCAACTTGAAAGTATTTGAACATTTCCGCCGACAGCGTTCCATAAGAGAGGCACCTTAAAAGTATCCATGCAAGCTTGTCAAACAAGATGATGACTTGTGCTGTAACCGCTAAAAATGTCAACATGTTTTCAGTTGGAATGGAATAAAAATATCTTCTACATGATTGAGGTTATTAAGCCAAGCTTGAGCCGCTTTTTGCAGAGATGGCACATCTTTTCAAAGAGTTTGTGGTAGCCGTTGCATCCTGCCGTACGCGTCCTCTCATTTCAAAAAATAATTCCAGCCTATGACATTTCGTCCAAAGCAGCAGGCTTTTCTCCCTTCCCTGCCCTCCGTTTTTCGAGACGACGCGCCGCGTCTGGTGACAGGAGGACGCTTATTGCTAGGTCAAACCACGCAATTCTAGAACTTACCGCAGCCTTTTGAGTGCTGATAACCCAACTATAGATCGTCCATCAGTGCGTGGTTGGCGTACACGCTTTCCCTTCATCCAGTATCCCTCTGCCAACTGTTCCCATTCTAGCGTTGCCAAGCCCCACCCAATGTCCCCCAATCCTACCCGACGTTACTCATTCCCTACCCAACGTTCCACAATCCCTACCTAACGTTCTCTAATCCCCTCAACGTTCCACAGTCCCCACCTAACGTTCTCTAATCCCCTCAACGTTCCACAATCCCTACCTAACGTTCTCTAATCCCCTCAACGTTCCACCAGTCCCCACCTAACGTTCTCTACTCCCCTCAACGTTCCCCAGTCCCCACCCAACGTTGTCCTGCGGAACGTCGCCGTGACCTCTGCCACAGCGCGTCCCGCCCTCCCCCGGTGGAACCTCGGTGTGCTTCGCTCCCTGTGTGGAGCCGCCATCGTGACCTCCTGCCCACAGCGCGTCCCGCCCTCCCCCCGATGGAAGCTCAGTGTGCTTCGCTCCCTGTGTGGAGCGCCTGTGTGACGCGCCGTTCCTGGTTTCAGGGGTGGTCTGGCCTCGCTCCGCCTGCCGCCGAGTGCCACCAGTGTACCCAAGGTGAGCCCGGGTCAAGGGGTTCAGGTCAGGGCCCAGGTTAGGGGTCGGGCGAGGGACAGTCGTGGTGCTGCGTTGTGTCGATGCATGGCAATACAAGAAGGTGGAGGCAAGAGGCGTCGGGTTTTGACCGAAAACCGAGCATGGTTCTTTACGCAAGAGCGATGCCTGCAACTCCTGCAAGAGAATCGGCCATGTCAGCGACGTCGGCAGGCGCTGCTCACGGGCTTGCATACAGGTGCGGTGTGGACTGGTGCTGGTGAGGTAGGTACTAACCTTCGTGAGGGAGTGAGGTGCCCCTGGAAGAGCTACACTGGCCCCCGACGTGAGTGAGCATGATGACACTGATAACAGACCACGACAACGCGGCGAGGAATGCCCGCGCTTACACTCGGGGGAGAGTAGACTGACGCCTTTTGAAAGGGAGTATACTGACCCTCCAGACCAACGCGGCGAGGAGGCGCGCTTACACTCGGAAGAGAGTGGACTGACGCCTTTGAAAGGGAGTATACTGACCCTTGTGTGTGACTACGCTGACGCCGGTGAAGAAGCAATGATCCCGGCGAGATGAGGAAAGTGCCAGATCCTGACGGATGGGAGTGTGGTAACCCTCGTGTGTGACTTCATTGACACCAATGAAGAGGCATGATTGACCCCCGGCAGGCGGTACCATGTTGACTCTGTGTGTGATAACATCACGGATGCTGAAGTCTCCGCCGCCGGCGAGGGTCGGTGATTACTTGTTATTACTGTTAAACCCGTCTTCGATGGGAGGGAGTGCACTGACCCTTGTGTGTGACTACACTGACACGGGGCGCATCACCGATCCCAGCGAGGCGCAGAGCTCACTGACCCCGCGGCCTCTGTAGGACGCGCCGGACGCTGCAGCTGCCCCGCAGGCAGCAGCAGCAGCAGCAGGTGCAAGCAGCAGGCTCAGCCGGCGGAGCACCCGCACCCGGTAGGCGGGCGATTCGGCCGGTTCCCCCCGGACCCAGCCCGGCCGCGGCTCTGCTGAAGGAATGGGCATGCGGCGGCCATGTGACGGAGCCGCCGGCGCTGGCGGCGCTGCACTTTGCTGAGGCCGCCAGCAGCGGCGCGGGCGCATGCCGTGTCTTGGGAGTTGGAGTAGAGTATAATTGCACTCTGGAGTAGAGTTACACTCTGGAGTATAATTACACTCTGGGGTAGAATTACACTCTAGAGTAGAGTTACACTCTGGAGTAGAGTTACAAGCCGGAGTTACAGGAGTTGCACTTGAGTAGAGTATCAGTAGACTGATGAAAAGTGATGGCGTAGAAACGTAGACATGGCCGGCGTGCGTAGATGAGGCCTGACACAGAAAGTAGAGCTGTTGGTTGACAAACGTGGAGAACGTTAGTGCTTGATCAGTCGCAGCAATTGCATGTTTGGACATCGCGATGCATGCATCCTTGCGACGGTTTTCATGTCAGACTGCAGGTTTATCCCAAATTTCAAGCTCAGGTGCGGTGAAGGAAGTGAAAGCGTGTCAGCGCCGCGAAATTCAAGGACGGAGGAAAGCTTTCCACCCTCACGCAAGACTGAGCTTTAGTGATATTTGGACCGTTTTGAGACAGACGTAGGTAGAGCGACTGGCACAGCAGCGTATTTCTTCTTTTCTTCGCTTGCCTCAACACAAACACTGGCTGATGCATTAGATGACTCAGTGCCATCATTGGTGCCAGCTGCAGATCAATGACGCGATTATGTCTGATTGAGGGCTGTGCAGAACGAGCACCCTGTCTCTTACCGGGCCCGGCTCCGCTCTCCTGCTCGTAACGCCGCCCCGTGTGCACCTGCCCACCCATCGCCAGCTAGCGCGTCACGCTCTGCAACTTCACGGCGGCATCTTGGTCTGCACCTTCCCCCTCACCCTCGCCCTCACGCTCCCCGCCCCGAGGAACGCACGACAGCTGGAACGGAACCCGCCGCCCCGCCCCTACCCCAACCACTGCTCTCGCGTATCGTTGATAAATGGGGCAGCCAGGGGCGGGGCATTTGCTTCTGATGTCATCCCATGGACGGTGGTGATTGGTGGGGAGATCAGGCTGGGTCCGCTGACTGCGTGGCGTTGCCAAGCAACTATTTATTTCCCGGAGCTCGTCCGGGGCGTGTTAAAGAAACATCCGGGCGCGAGGCTATTTTAGGATTCCTATGAACGCATCGATATGCGTGCACAACGAGTTATTTCAACACTTCAAAAATGGAGGCGGGGCGCTAAGAGATAATTGGGATCAAAACAGTTCATTATCACCTCACCGTGCCAGAATTTCGCGTGCATTGTTGTGGGCTGATGTTTTTTATAATAAATGTATGCTTGTTTCCCTCTCTATAGCCGTATTCTGCCTGTGCCCTTGGAAATATCATTGTGACGCACCGAGAAACAAGTGGACTTGCTATGAGCCGCGTTTTCTGCGATTGTAGGCTGCGAAGGAGAATATGGGAAACTGCGCTGATGTAGCGCACTGACCAAACAACTTAATCATAAGCGAAAGCCGCGGGATAATAGTCTGCCTTAGTACGCATCATATGAGCGAAGCCGCAGGATAACGGTCCGCCTCAGCACGCGTCATATCATGAGCAAAGCCGCAGGATAACAGCCTACGTCAACACGCATTTGCGATGCTTTGACACATGCTCGGTAACGTGAAGATTTTAATCCCTTTCCTGAGGAAGGGGGGGGGGGACGGGAAAGCGATGAGACCCCTCCTTGATGTTTTTTAGATGTCTCTCCGGCATGTCGTGCAATCACCCCCAATTTTCGCCGGCTAAGACACTCATTGCGCGCGTTTTCGATCCACGGCTGGTGCGGGCGGCGGGCGGCAATCAACTGCTGGTGCCGGTGGGTCCATCGATTCGACGAATCCACCAATCGCACGCTGTGGGCTGATACCGTCACATTGAGGAGACCCATGTCCTTAATGTACTAACAATGGAGACCTTTATCTTCATTGTACTAACGATGGGGACTTATATCTTAGACGTAATGACATAGCACACAAAGCGGATAAATGTGCTTATAATTAAACAAGGAACACGTTTGTGTGAGCTTCCTGTGCCACATGGCGTGGTTTCGTAAATATTGGCATGTAAAGCTGAAATCATACAATTTGAAGGACAAAATGGCATTTGACCTGACATAATAGCGTAAATTATTACGCTAGCAACATAGAAATGATGGCCAGTGGCAAGATATCGCAGAGACCGATCCAACTTTTACTTGTGAATTTTTTGCGGTGCGTTATCATTCTTAGTTTGGAAATGGCGAAGGGTCGCATCAACCCCTCTGCCCGTCTGCGATATGAAAAGGGGCGAATCAGAGCGACGGTTTAAGTCCTGAGGGCTGTCCGTACCTCACCCCCAGCCAATAAAAAACGACGGTGGCGCGTGATTGGTCTGACTTGGACGTTTGGGCGCCAAGTGGCCCAACGCCAATATCTAGCGGAGCTCTGCTGCCGTCATTTCAAACATTGCAGCGTTTTGTCCCAGGCTCATCACAGTTTGGAGGCCCCCGGTCCCAGCATTTGCGTTGCATCGCATTGCATTGAACACGTGACAGGATGGCGTTTCAACTTCCAGCTCTGCTTTGTTCCCGCCAGGGATATCCTTTACTTTGCAGTTGCGGGAGGGGGGGGTGCTCCCTAACTTGTACTCCAGTCCCCGTAACCTTGAGAAAAAAGTCGGCCAAACACGCGGAGAAAATTGTTAATCGGTGTATTTTGCAGAAAGGTTGTAACTTTTTCACTGTTTATCCACTCTCAGCTGTCTCAACTCATTTTGAGAAGCACTCCCCAGATTCTGGGCGCGGTCTCCCTCACCCAAGATGCTCTCCTGTTCCTGTGTGGTCCGTCATATGCATTGCAAGGGCGCAGTAAAGACAATTATTTTGTGTGCGGGGGGGGGGGGGGGCCAGACGCTGAAAATGGCACAACCTCCCTACGAAAATGCGCCACAAACTGGGTTTCTCTCCGGATTTGGCCCCCTTTCTTGTCAAAGCCGGGGGTCTGAAGCCCAAGTTTGCCGGAGTATTGAGTGTTGCGCCACCTTCGCCATATAGGAAACTCCACCCTGATACATCGTGCCGTCACTGCTGCTGCACGTCCGTTGCACGGCATCGCGTACAGCGCACTTGCCGGAGCCTCGACGGCGGCCAAGCGTGGGGCGGGCGGGGTAGCAGCGTCCGGATAGACTGCCACCGCACGACATCAGAAGGGGGGGGGGGGCGTGAAGAGAGAGCGCGCGGATCGTCGACCCGGGGCCGCCACCCTGGGACCACAGACCGGGCGTCAAACAGAGGGATGGAAGGTGACTGGCCAAGGAGCGCTGGTGCATGGAACCTTGAACGAACCCCGAAAGCAATGGTGGAGTGCGCTTGCCACCCAGCTCCCCGGCACCACCTTCGTGTTAAAGGTTTTTTTCCGTCCGCGCGAAGGTCTCTCAGAATCCGTGAGCGCTAGAAACCCTGCCGTCGTTTTCGCCGGATGCTCGCGGTTCGGTATGACGTGCCCCGCGGCCAAGCTCACCCCCAGCGCTGATTTCGACCGGAGTGACGTCTGCACCCCGCCTTGTACCATGCTGTCCATACCCCACGATCTGTCCAAAGTGTGTGGGTGCGTGTGCGTTTCTGCGTGGGTTTGTGGTTAGCCTGCCTGATATCCGATAGCTAGCAGTGCGAAGTGATCCTGGTGTTTTTTTTCGGGCGTTGGTGGTCGTTTCGCGTACTTTGGCCTTACGCCGTTGCCCGCCACGTTCTGACGGCGTGCTCGTGGGACGTCAGTTCCGCTGCTTCGCCCGTGATCCACGTGTTATATCCGTTCTCTCGTTGGTTTTCCCGGTGCTTTTGATGTGTTCAGCGGTTATTTTCACTGTAGCGGCGTTAGAGCGTTGTCCCCCCACGTTGGGTTAGCGATCAGCGGCCGGGCTCCTCAGCTGCCCAGCTGTCCACGTCTGCCGCAGCTTACCATCCCTCTCCGGGGTCACCCAAGGTCAGGACACCGCGGGAAACACCGCTTCTGAGGTTGTGACCCCCGTCTGGCCTGAACTTGGCTGACCTCTGGGATCGGTGCGACTCGCTGATTGGTCCGTCCGCTGTCCACAGCCGGCCCAGCCCCGACAGCGCAACCCCCTTCCGATGTATCAAGGTCAGGTGAAGTCGTCGGGGGTCACGGGCAGGTTATCTTATGAGGCCATGATTGAGTGTCAGCTGCGTGCGGTGCTGTGTTGAACGAACTGCCTAGCCTTCCGCATGCTACACGGTTTCTTGGCGGTGCTGTATGTTCTTTCCTTCCTATCGGCAACGACTGTCGACGCTGGTTTCCTTTATGCATGTACGCGAAGACTCCGTGGCTATAAGTACCGTGATAGCCAGCCGCCCAAGCTCAGACCAAGACTTTGCACGACATCGGGCACTTTAATCATCGAAAACAAGTGAAAATATAGGTGTCGGGAGAGAACTATTGGCTTTGTCATCCGGTGATGCCGACGTGAGCGTGCGATTTCACTTCATACCACTTTTTAGACACGGCGCAAAGATGACGTGTTGTCGGCGCTTGCATTATCATACTATTGCAAAATTTTCCGGATGGATCTGTTTACTTTACTAGTATTATATTGCCGATATTATAGTAATATTACATATATTATAATTATATTATAGATCCGAGAGATCCCGGCAAACGGAAGCAATGCGCGTATTGATATCCACTTTTTCGAATGTTAGGAGCATCACTAATAAACACGTCAGGCTTACGACAACCACAGCACGCAATGTGTTGAGTCTCGCTTCATTTTAAAATATCAATGCACGTGTGAAAAGCTATATTCATCGAATATGGATTCCGGGAGATTTAAATTTGCAAGTGCACACAAACCTTACGCCTGCTACTGATTTACAGGCGACCCTCTGAGTGGACGACCTTTTCCGATGATTTATGTACCTAGTAATGACTTGTAGTTTGTTGATGACCTGACCCTCCTAGTGACTTTCAATGTGAATACCATTCCCGGCCGTTTAACGGGAAGGTAAGTGTCCTGATGACCTCTGGTCAGCTGATGATCTATGGTCTGCTGGTGACCCCTGGTCAGCTGATGACCTCCGGCAGCCTCTGCCGAGGCGTTCGTTTAGCGCAATGCTTACCACACCTCCGCAGTAGCTCTTCTGACCTGCCGTAGCAAGGCCCTTCTGACCGGCCGTTGTGAGGCCCTTCTGACCGGCCGTTGTGAGGCCCTTTTGACCGGCCGTGGTGAGGCCCTTTTGACCGGCCGTTGTGAGGCCCTTCTGCCCGGCCGTGGTGAGGCCCTTCTGACCGGCCGTTGTGAGGCCCTTCTGACCGTACCACCGGGTCAGGCCCGGCGATGCCTCTGGCGGGGCGGGGCCCCGCTGCCGGCGGAGCGCCCCCCCCCCCCCCCCCCTGACCAGCAGCGGGCGGTTCCCCGCCTACAGTTCTCCCCAGACTGGTGGGCCTCGGCTGCACTGGCCTGAGCGTGAGGCGTTAGTGTGGAGTGACTAACGATGTTTGTCGGGCTGACGTATCTATGGTTTTGCAGAGGTGCCAGCGGCGCGGGTATGTATGTAAAGGCACGGCTGTGTGTGACTCAGAAATTGGTTTCGTTTTAGTTGCGACGCCATTCATATGTCATGTCCCCGGAGGGAATGGAAGAAGCCGGTCCAGGAGCTGATCTGGGGCATAGTTGCCACTGATGAACGCCATAAATGAAAATTATTATTTACGGTTTCATGAAAGGAGCTCATGACGTTTAAAAACACTGCCACATTCAGAAAAGCTTAATCGTTTATTCTTCTTCTTTTCGATGGAATGCGACGCACATTGTTGCGCACCCTTTGATGGCGCGCCAGCGACCTGCAGCTGGCCGTATTAGAGCTCAAGACCGCGGTGCAGCCCGAGGGTTCAAACCCGGGTCCCCCATGTGGAAACCAAAGGCGCCAACCACTCGGCCATTACGCGCCTGATTGATGACCTCGTATTCCGCGCAAAAATACCGTCAGCGACCGGTGACATTAGCGAGGCAGCCAGCCCAGCTGAGCGGACGGGCCTGGCCATCGCTGCTGTCCACCGCGTCAGGCCGCGGCCTCCGGACCGTGTGATTGTTGGCGGGGCTCCTACGCCGCCGCTGGCGCCGGCTCAGTCCCCGTCCCCCGACAGCCGACACCATGTCATTAAACAGGCCGTAGCTGCTCCTGCTCCCGGCCCCACGCGCTGATGGCGGCAGGAATGTTGGCGGATACGCCGCTCTAGACCAGCGGCCTTTGTAGAGTAATGGACGGATAGGCGGCTCACTTGGACGTGGACTGCCATGCTCAATGTTTTTTAGGCAACAATCGCGGCGGAAATATCTGCTACGCTGCTGGCAATGTGAAAAGCTAAGTTTATTCTGAGAGCCCTGAGCTCAAATTTTTACGTTGGAGCCCAATATGTAGGAAATAAAATACAGCAATCTAAGCTTCTTTTCAGTATGGTACGCAGCTTGATCCACGCTCGATAAAAAAACCGTTCGACTCGCTGGAGATGTGAGGTGGGAACTATCTGATGGGTGTCACGCGTCACGTGTCACTGTCCTCCTCCGACGTGCGTCACGTGTTACGGTCCTCCGACATGCGTGGCGTGTCACAGTCCTCCTCCAGCGAAACTCCGCAGCCGCGTGACCTTGCTACACCGACAACCAGTCAAAACACAGCGTTCATCTTGCGGGCGTCGCCGGCGTTGACAGTGCTGCCACCTGTTGCTGACCGACAGAACTTGGAGACGACGGACGGCTCGGTGAAGGCGCTGGTGCACAACCAGTTCAACTCGCCGATGCCGCTGTACTCGGAGGAAAAGATTGCCGAGACCCTCTCCGCGCAAACAGAGGTGCTGGCTGGAGGGGCACTCGGGTGAGTGCCGCATGTGAAGTGCCGCCGGTGTCGCGTCTGCCGCGCCAGGTGTCGGTCGCCGCGCTACACTGCCGTTGAAATGGATATCTCGTGGCGAACATGTCAGTCCAAGTCAATGGCAAACGCGCAGATGCCACACCGCATACACACATGCAGTTATTTGAATTTTTCATTACGTTTTCGCAGACACTTCCGTCATGTCACAATACATAACGTTTTGCGTCACAGAGCAATGCGAAGTAGTTGGTGACGTAGACGTAGAATTTACCCGGCCTGCCCAGCACCAGTTGCGGGAGCATCTGAGAGCCTTCACACGTGAATTAACAGAGCTGTTTGAACAATCCTCTTTCATCTTGCAACATATTCCGAAAACCAGTCTTTTTTTAAACCAAGGTCTGTTATGCCAAAGAACGTTATCACGACAAAACTTTGAGACTTTTTATACTCGTTTGCCGTTACGAACCCAGGACCGTAGAAACTCACTCACACAAACGCACGCGCGCGCGCACACACACGCACACACACACACACACACACTGACATACACACTCACACGCACACGTACACGCATACGCAAACACACACACACACACACACATACACACACACACACAACACACACACACACACACACACACACACACACACACACACACACACACACACACACACACACACCACACACAGCCGCTGTGGCCTCATGACCGTGACCGATGGCCGTAACCGGTGACCGTGACCGATGGCCGTGATCGGTGTCCGTGGCCGGTGACCGTGACCGGTGACCGTGGTCGCTGAGCCTGAGCTGCCCTGGCGGACGGCAGAGTGAACTTCAAGCGGTACGAGCCGCAGCCGTGGAAGCCGGCCGCCTCCGAAGTCTACAAGATGATCCACGGCGACGACGCCGACTCCGGCCCAGGTCAAAGTCAAGATCGTAGTCGTCGGCCGCGCCCGCGGCGCCCGCAGCATCCGTGCCCCCTCCGCCCCCCTGCCCCCCCCCCCACCCACACGATACCGTCCCGAGGCTCATCTCTCTCGATGTTGGTTACACTTAAAAGGCCGCTTGCGACACAACCGCTGCAGCGCGAGGTTCTCTCTTGAAGTAGCGTTATTCCGGAGGCTGCCTCGTGAGCTTATCATTTGCTCGGCAGCCACATGAAGCCTCTGCGCTCAATTTCATTTGACGTGGTATCAAACTAGTGATCTGTTTAAGTCACGACAGGGGAACTTAATTTCGGCTATAAACTATCTAAGCATGGGAACATATGGCAGAAAACTAAGGGAAAACTGAGGGAAAGCCGAGCTTGAAAGGCCCCGCCGGGAAAAAATGCAACACGGGTGGTAGTGCACCAACAGTTGCCGCTCTCGCTTGGGTGCGGCGCGAGGTCTCCCTGAGCGGACGTGGGCCAGATCCTCCAGATTTTTGGAGCCTTGGAGCCGCTGCCTTTGGGTGCTGGGGCCGAGCCTGGGAGGTGAGACACACTCTCAACACACGATCAAACCTTCTGACCAGCCCTTCTGGCGCAGGGTCCGCCCCAACCTCAGCGGCGGGTCACCGGGGTCACGGGTGTGCTGTACTGGGCGCCGCGGGCCTGACCCTCCTGACCCTGCCGCAGCCGACCCTTCTCTCCTGTAGTGCCCAGACCCTCGCCCAGACCGTTGGTGCATCACCGGCTGACCCCCCCCCCCCTCTGGTTTTTGTGTCACCCCGTTGCCCCGCCGGTCCGCTGCTGGCGCCAGAGGGAGGTGCAGCTCCAGTGTAGCGTTTGACGTGACCGAGGCTGCCGTAGTGAGCCGGTTTGTGTAGCGAGTCTCTCTCCTGTCCGCCGCCGCTCGCTCTCCTGTCCGCCGCCACTCCCGCCGCTGGCGCTGCCCGCCGGCCGGCCATGCCGGGCTGGCGGCGCTGCCCGCCTCCACACCCGCCCGGCGCTGCCCGCCGCCGGGGCTGCCCGCCGGTCGGCCGTGCCGAGCTGGCATCGCTGCCGGCCTCCACTCCCGCCGCCGGCGCTGCCCGCCGGCCGCCCGTGCCGGGCTGGCGTCGCTGCCGGCCTCCACTCCCGCCGCCGGCGCTGCCCGCCGGCCGCCCGTGCCGGGCT